TAAATTTATATATATATAAAATAGCATATGGAATTTTTTTTTTTTTTAACGATACTTTTTTTTGTATGCACATGCAGGAAAGGAGAAATCGTCTCCACGTTTCGCTATTTTATATATGCGCACACACGGAGGAGGGTGTGGGCAAGAAAGAGCTCGTTCCTGTGGCATAACAGTTTGTATCACCCTGCCGCGTTTATCGCTCTTCCGCTTTTATCGCCTGACCGGTTCATATTTTTTTTAACATTCCAAAAATCGCCCCCTCCAGGGAAATTGATCCGCAATACACATACGGATGTATGTACATACGTATATGCACCTTCCCCCCTGCGCTTCGCTCCTCTGATCAAAAAGGCGAAATGGTAGTTTAGCGCGAGTTGGAAGGATGTATATTTTCCGTGTGCAGATAACTGCGCACGAGGGGGAGCACAACTGGGCCGCTCACACAGCGCATGTACGAGCATGTATATATACGTATGAGCATTACGCGTATGTTTAAATGCTGCGGCGATTTTTATAAATCTGCGCGTACATATGCACGTGAGGAATTTGCCTGCCAGTGAACCTTTAATTCAAAGCAGCTATCTTTTCCACCCTTCCCCAGGGTTGATCGCAATTTTTCTACGCAACTCGCGCTGACTTAAATGTGAGGGAAACTCTCGTTTACGTCACCAAACTGCGCGTGTGTGACTTTAAAAAAAAGCCATTCCCCTGTTCGCTCCTTCAGCTTGGTACCTTCCGCCCTGTTCCTTCGATTTTGTTCCATTCGATTTGCATCCAATGCGGCGAATGGGGGATAGTATAGCGGCGTGTACCCTTTCGCCAGCACTTGGAAAAGAAAGCGGCCTTTTTAAAAAATTCCAAATTTGTACGTACTTATGATGACGAGCATTACACAGTGTTCCAACTCGCCGCTCTTTCCAAAGCGTCTGAACGGAAAATTACGTTGGGGAAAACAAATGGAACGAAGTAAACTCCAACGAGTTGGAATTGTATGCCACCATTTTGTGGCACATTTTACCATTGTCAAGACGGAAAATAATTTTTTCAGGAAGTTTTTGTGCCACTCCATTTTGGGAATCCTTCCAACCGATCACTTTATGTTCTTATGCGAACGTCGCGCGTAATTGTGCAGTTGCCTATGGTTAACAGACTAATACATAAATGAACGATCATTCGATGGTACGTTAGTTCGTCTTTCTGTCCGCGTTCCACCCCCATGTATGATTATAAATGTGTAGGACTCTTTTTCCGCCTTCCAAGTGATAACACCATTTCATTTGGCAGGAAGTAAGCACAGGGAGAAATAAAATCATGTTCGTACAAACAAATGTGGGCATATTTTCGGTAAAGAAGGAAAAAAAAGAAAAGAACCACCCATCCGTATGGAAATCAGCATTAAGTTTGTATTTTTCCGGGCGAAGACACACATTACAAATGCGTCGCAGTAGGTCATGGAACACATTGGCTACGTCTAAATGGATGGTGGTGCACACCACGTGTCACTTGGAAAATTTTCCAGTTTTGTCCGCTCAACATTTGTTCTCGGTACGCGTTATAAAAGTGAAGGGTTGTCACGCACAGAGGCTGAGATGGTAAAGGGTAGCTATGGGCATAGTGCGTCAGACCAATATACAAAGTAAGCTTGGGGTGGTAAAGACACCAAACGGCATATGAACGTGCAAAGCGATGGCACTCCTATCGCCCCCAAAAATGATCTTTTTACAATTGTGAACTGAAACCACCCCATGGCAGAGCTGATATGAGCGGATGGTAAACATGGAAAAGTGTCTGCTGCTAAAATGTGCTCCCTTACGGTTTACCTAGATTCGCCGTCTCTTCAAAATTAGGAAAATTTTAAAGTGGTGCTCCCTTCCCTCGATGAACATGTACCAGTTGTGGCGTGACAAATTCGTATCACACTCGCATGAAATTAAAAGATTTCTCCATTTATGCTTTTGCTTTACCTTTTTTTTAAATGGGCAAATTGGCTCATTCAGCCCATGGAGAAGGGGAACTTTTGGTCTGCTTCCTCAAGTGCAGCGTAAAAATGGGGTCAAGTGAGATGACGCATAATTCGGGAAAACAAATTTACCTTGGCGAGTGCGCGGGGAATGAGAATAAATGTCAGCAGAGGGGAGAACTACAGAGTTATTATGGCGCGTGCACGAAATGACGAACATGAGAGAGATACCCTTTGTTGAGAGATGTACGTTAAAATCCCTTTTGAATGACTTCCTTGCCGGGACACTAGACGCACGACGGGCACCCTTTGACACTTTTGGCGCAAATAATTTGGCAGGAAAGCATGCACTTATACATATGGCAGTTTGTGTTTGCTCATTTCGAAATATATTTTGGTTGACTGGAACTGCCGGGGTATGGCACGACTCGAAGCGACAGTCGCGTAGTATTATATGCCTATGTGCGTAGATGCTTAGGATATGTATATGACGCAAACCGCCGTGCGCCTCATGTCCAATAGTTGCGCGGGTGACACTGTCCACTCGGTATGCAAACATAAATATAAATGTATATATATACATGTATGTATATATATGTATATATATGCATGTATATATATGTATATTATATGCGCGTACTATGCGCATATGCCATGCGCGCTGGCATAAATTGGGAGCATTCGTAGCATCTTCGTTCGCCCCGTCAGCATGGGATGGCAAGGGGGTGCGGCATAAGACGTATGCGTATGTATGTACAAAGTATTTTTATATATACGAATATTGCATACGCGTATGTGCAAGCAATGCGAATGCGGTTAATTGTATATTCTTTCCTGCCGCAGTTGACGCGTGCGGGCAATTATCCCGAAGTGTACGGCACACGGCAGCGCAGGCGGCATTTATATATAAAGGAGAAATAAAAATATATACATATATATTTATATATATATATATATGTACGACGCGTGAACGGCAAATGTACGAACGCGGCATGTACGTACATTTTATGTATATTTATATGCGCAGCGCAGCCGTTTCGACTCAAAACTGATTTAAAAAAAAGGAATACGAGCTTTCCGGGCCGCGAACCCAGAGCGAACTCTCTGCTCATACGCGGAAAAAAAGCTGAAGAAGAATGCACAGAAAAAAGAAAAAAAAAAAAATCAAAACGTGACGGTAACGTAGCGCAACGATACGTAAAGAAAAAAAGAAAATCTCAAAACTTGTGCGCTGAGTGACGACCAAATGATCAGCCAGATTTAACGGGCCGATTTTTAATGAGCCAATTTTAGCGCGCCGAGAGCGATGCCCCAAATGATAATAAAAAAAATCAAAAATCTCAAAATTTTAAAAACGAATGGCCGCAAATGAAAATTTTAAAATAATTAAAAAAATATTCTGAACTGCTCATATTTTTTTTTTTTTTTTTAAAATAAATCTCGAAAGAATTAAGAAAAAAAATATATATAAATTAAATATAAATCATATAATACACTTTTTTTTTTTACATTCCCCAAATTAAGAAAATTTTCAGTTTTATATAATCTAATTTAAGCGAAAATGTCAGGACGAGGAAAGGGAGGCAAAGGATTGGGAAAGGGAGGAGCCAAGAGGCACAGAAAGATTTTAAGAGATAACATTCAAGGTATCACCAAACCAGCCATCAGACGTTTGGCCAGAAGAGGTGGTGTGAAGCGTATCTCCGGTTTAATATACGAAGAAATCAGAGGAGTATTAAAAGTCTTCCTAGAGAACGTCATTAAAGATTCCATCATGTACACTGAACACGCAAAGAGAAAGACTGTCACTGCTATGGACATTGTGTACTCCTTGAAAAGACAGGGAAGAACATTATATGGTTTTGGTGGTTAAATGTGACAGTTCGATAGGGGGAACTGAAGAAGAACAACCCCAGTTTAGCACAATCTTTCAGGAAAAAGAGACCCACAGAAGGAAGAAAAAAAAAAAGAAGAAGAAGAAAAAAAGGTTTATTTTTTTGCCTTATTTATTTATACAACTTTGCAATCTGATTGTGTTAAAAATGGTATTACCAATTTTCGTCCCATCCGAGGAGCGGAAAAAGGAAACCATTCAATGAACACACACGGTTGTAATGTAACATAAATAAATATGTGCATAAAAAAAAAAAAAAAATAAAACGAAAAAAAATGGTATCGAAAATACCGTAAAAAAAAAAAAGAGAACCAAGGATATCAAAGTTCTCAGGATGTAACGTTCCCCATAACTTCTTTATTATATCATACTGTTATTTTTCTTACATAAGACACATCGAAGTTTACAATAAAGCGAATGCATCTTAAGGGAAAAAAAAAAGAAAACAAAACAAAAGAAGAGAAAAAGAAGAAAAAAAGAAAGAACTAAAATTTAGTTTTTTTTTTTTTTTTTTGCTTTTTTTTTTCATACGACTATTATGTATGCAATCTATCTTTACATAATAGTATGAATTTTTTTTTTTTCAGGCTTCACTAGAAGCCATTCATCACTTATTGTAGATGAGTCTATAAAATAATTAAACCTGTTTTCATTGGTACACACATTTGCAACTATAACTGTATGGTGTTATTTCCCATTTGTCATGGGGAAGAAAAGTGCATAGATGTCTGTTTGCATGTAACGTTAGAATTTCTTTTTTTTTTTTTTTTTTTTTGCCCCAAAGGCAGAAAGGTATGTAACTTTAAGTAATGTAGCTTAAATTTAAAATGAAAAATTGTGGAAGAATTTAAACAAGTTCTTGTTCAGGATGACACTTAGTAACTGGCGAGCGGATTGGAAGATTACCATCTGGCTGTCTCCCATTTTATACGCGAGTATCAGTGTGGGGTGTTCCTTTTTGCAATGCTATAGAGTTGGTTTATTTTCGAGTCGTGTCATCGTTATTTCAGGTTTGTCCTCCCCCACCCCTTCAATAATTACGCTAATCGGCGTTTCTTCCTCCAACTCAGGGTTACCCATTTCTTCCTTTTAAGAGGGGCTCCCTCATGGTAGAGCCATCATCGTGCAAACGGACCTTCTTAATTGTAGACCTTGCAAAGTCATCCTTACATAGTCCCTCTCAGTTGCGCAACGGAAAAAAGAATTATTTTGAGTAAACCATACGCATTTCTGGAATGACACAAAATGTTGTCACTCGTCACTCTGCGCTTTCTTACGTGGAGCCCTTCTTTCCCTTTGACCCATTTTGTGCGGGGCTCGCAGGAATACACTACCAATTCGATCCGCATTGTCTACTCAAATTTTTGTGACAATAAAGGAGTTACGCTGTGAATTACGAGAAAAAAATATGCTGCCATGATTTTTGTTTTTTTTCGCGATTAGAGGGGAACTGAGGGGACACACCCAGAATGGGGTTTACGGTTATCTTCATTTGTAGTTTCCCCTAAAAGGGCCAGGATAACAAAACTATGCTAAATATTTGCCACGGGGTAGGGAGGCGTTCGGAGGAGAAGAAGCATACCGAATTAGCTGCCCCTCCTCCCAAGGTATACCTTTGTAACCTTTATAGTGGGGATTCTTGTAGCTCCCATTTGAAAAAATCCTGCATAGTGGAAAATGTACAAAATAGGAGAAAGGGAAAAACTTAAAAAAAAGGAGGAGAAAAAAAAAACAAAAAAAAAAGTGTCACTCTCGAAACAGTGCCAAACGGTTAAGTACAAGGAGCATGTCAAATTCTGTCACGCTTCTGTAAATGGGAAGAGGGCAAGGGAGATAAAACGATCTTCCATAAAATGAGTCGAAGAAAAGTTGAATAGTGAAGGTGAAACGGCAAGGGGTTGTCATGCTGTATGGCCACGGTCACACAATGGGAGAACAACACTCGGGTGGAAATCCAACGGGGGAGGCAAATTTCAGGACAAAAGAAAAAAGTGCGCAGGGCGGGTGGGGGGAAAAGGCAGCAAGGAATGGCGTACCTACTCACGTACGTAAGTACTCGTGTGTGTGCTGCCAAAACAAGTCGTGGAACTAAACTAGGGGAGGGGTTAAGAAGAACCATCTGGAGAAGGCGCTCCGGTGTGCAGATTTCCACAAGCCGTATCTCCTTGGCTTACCCAACACACGCGCGTAGACACGACGTCAGGCAGATGACACGAAGACGAAGTGGCCTTGGGGCCAAAAGGGTGTTAACTCATTCGGATTGTAAAAGAACCCATTATGAGGGGGGGACGTGCACTTGACATGCAAGTTTAATCACACAAGTGTAGTGAGGTGGGATCAGGCAGGGTTATCTGCTTTCTTAGCTATATATACACATCTATCTGGTGCGGATGGGTAACAATGCGCGAGACAAAAGGCGAGGCGCGCGAGGGAGGCGCAATTAAAGCAGGGTCGGCATGTAGCTAGGACAGACTCTAAAAGACAAAATATAAAATCGGAAAAAATGAAAAGACGCAAAATGAGAAAACAACAATGGACAATTCGCTTCCTACTGCGGTAAAAACTTTTGAAACACCCCAAAAAGAATGAGATAAAATAGAAAAATAAAATAATAAAATAAAGTAAAACAAATAGCCTACGGTCACATTGCTAAGACGTGGTTGACCATCTGTTCGTAAAAAGGGAAGAGACAGCTGCGCGTGAATACCCTGCTGGGGTGCTATCGCTCTGCAGGGTGGCGAGTAACTTGGGACGGAAACACAGAGGAGAGCACATCCTGGAAAGCGCACACGGAAGGAAGCCCGTCGCTCGGGGACTCCCTTCCCACTGCTTGATAACACACCCGTGTTTGTTTCTGCCCTCGCCCCGATGGGTAGTCACCCCTGTGCATAAACAAGAGATCTGGTTTCGTTTGCTTCGCTCCGGCTTTGTATGTCCACCCCATAACACCACTGCCTCGTGCCCATGCAACCTCGCTGGCTCATCGTTTCTCCGTCGCGTCACCTCTCATCCCCTGGTTTCACGCAACACATGGGGTTAAAAGGTTGGTGTCCTTTCCTACAAGCCATTCGTAATGGAAAAACTGGGGGGGACCCTGTCTAAACCACAGTCCGCCACTCGTTAGTCATTCCGAGTGTTGTCTTGGTTTGATTTTACTCTAGAGGAACACTCCAACTGTGAAGTAGAATAACTGGGTTGCCACTGTCGAAGAGGGCAGTATGACTAGCCAATTTAAATCTGTTTACAAAATTGCAGTTAATTTTGTCTGAACATAGTGGGAACGATTTCGATGTTATTTTTGTTGGCCCTGCGATAGTTGACATATATTGGTGGCATGTTCCCATTTTGTGAGAACATACTTTTGGCGCCGTTCTGAGGGATCTTACTTTTGGCGCCGTTCTGAGAGACCTTACTTCTGGTGCCAGTTCTTGCCAATTTGGCGTTAAGCCCGTCGTGCTGACTATGCATGCCATTATTTTGCCCCTCCTGGAGAGTCACCTGTTCCTCCTGTGCTTCATTCAAACTGGTGGACGTCTCGTACAGGTTAGTCACTTTGCAAGGGTCGTCATATGCATTGGCCGCCACATTGGCATAGTAGGTGTTGGAATGTCTGTCGCTGTTGATCACGCCAACGAGGTCATCACTGCTGTTTGTTAGGTGGCCCTTATCATTTAGAACAATACTGTTTCTTAGTCCGTTGCAGTGGTGGTATACAAGTGGGAGAAGAGAGGGAGACAGCTTCTGTGGAACGAGGATTACATTGGGTTTCTCTCCTCTGTGTGGAAGGGCGAGGTGACTATTTGGTACGTAAACCCGTTTCGGTGGAGCAGAATCATATGCCCTTTTATACTCCTCGTCGATCTGAATGATCTTCATAGGATCATTCTGCGGGATTATGCACATCGGGGGGGAGGAAAATAGTTCGGACACATTTTGCGTTCGTATGTATTCCACATCTTTCTCCTCTTCCGTGGTGGTGTGTTCCTTTCGCTTGAGGAGTCCTCCTATCCCGTCTCTTGTTCCATCGATTTGTTCATCATTCGGTACGTAGTAATCGGGAAAAGGCTTCTCAATGGAAGGGAGCTTCTCCAATGGCTTCCCTGTCATGGTGAATTTTTTTTTTTTCTTTTCGATTAAATGTTCGAAGAGGTCTACAAAGTTGTTGCAGTCTGGGGTGGATTCTTCATCTGGGTGGAGGGAAATGGGATCACGGCTTCCAGTGAGGGGGCGATCATCATCACGACTGCGCAAATGTTGCTGAGTAAGAATATATCGATGATCGGTGCCATAGTTTCCCTTTTCACTCCCGTGGAGAGCCGCACCAGTGACTCTCCCCTTGACGTTTGTCAAAATTTTTCCCGCTTTTCTGCGAAGAGGTCGTCTCCTTTGTGCACTCGAGGCTTCTTCATCCTCCTCGTCCTTCTTCTCCTCTTCGTCTTGCTGTGGCCTTCTCATCTTCTGTGCGTGTCGAACGGATGCCATTCCCTCAGCGGGGTGTAAGCGGCCACCGTCACGGGTAATGTCACAGGGATTGACACAGGAATTGTCTCCGTCATGGTCAGCGGCATTGTGCCTCTTGACAAATTGGTGGGATATCCTCGGGGGGTGCCTGCTGTCCCTGTCCTGGTAATAATTCACCGCATGGGTTTTTCCCTCAAAGTCGTTTTCCACAGAGTACGACGTGGCAATGACCTTGTCACCACAAGGAAGCAGCGTGTCGCCACAAAGTGATACCTTATCCCCGCTGAGGTTGCCCCCTCGCAGATATGAGAACCTCTCGAGGGAGGTAGACAATCCTGGATGGGGGAGGATGCCATTGCGCACTGCGTAGTAATTTCTTATCCTTTGGTTGATGAAGTAGTAGTATCTTTGCTCGTTGGAGAGGGGCAGAAAGGGGGGTAAATCTTCCTTAAGGTTCACTTCTTTCTGCATATGGTATGGGAGGATCACATGGCAGTTCCTGTCCCCATATCGAGGTCGTTTATTCTTCACGTAAGGTCCGTCATGCAGCGTGTTCTGACTCAGGTGAGAAGGTGTTAGGTACTTTCTCTCAGATGCACAGAGGTTGATGTTTGTTCCGAGAATATTGAAATATCTTAACCAGGGATGATGCGATGCGATCACAGAGTTTGGCATGCGCTCAGCCGGGTCGAACTGCAACAACTTCTCACATAGGTCTCTTGCCAATGGGTAGCTATTAAACGAGAGTAAGCTGAAATTGATTCCTTTCTTTTCCTTCTTCAAAATAATATCCTTGGTGTCTTTGTAGTTCACCATTAGACACATGGGCAAGGGGGTAATGCCCGTCATCAGAATGTAGAAAATGATTCCTATCGACCACATATCGGACAAGATTGAGTAATTATATCCTTTAATGATCTCAGGGGCAATGTATCCGTAGGTGCCCACAAGCTTCATGTGTTTCTTCCCTGAGGAGGATTTGGTTCGTGGTTGTTGGCGTCCGGAGTGCTGGCACAAATTCGATGTCCCGCTTCTCTCGTGTGTGCTCTTTCCCTTTGTCCTTCTCTCACTAAAACTTTTCACGCATCCCTTTGGCATCTCCCCAGGAGAATCACCCTTCTTCTGTTCCATTTTTCTTACTTCTCCATGTTTGCACATCTTGGCGCACTCGCTGGGCGTCACCCTCCTTTCTGTACTGGAAGATGGCGAAACGGTCCTACGTAGGTTGGCGGTTCCAGGAGGGTAAGACAATCCAGGGAGGCGACCCAAGCTGGGGGGATGAAGAAACTGACATGTGTCAAAATCGATTAAAACTAACTCATAGTTATACTCATACGTTTTATCCTTCCTCTTCTTATTTCTAAACATGAGATTCTCCGGTTTTATATCTCTGTGGATAATATTATGGTGATGCAGGTAATTAACGGCTTGGAGAATCTGGCTAAGTATATACTTGCACACACTCTCCTTGACCTGCTTCTTATAAACGAGAAAATTGAATAGTTCCTTCCCATATAGCTTCTCCATAATCATATAGAAATTTTTATCGTCATCATATATGTCGTAAATCTTCATCAGATTCTTGTGTTCCTTTAGAGATATGATGTGCTCGATCATGCACTCCCATGTATCTCCAAATGCACTGATGACTTTTTTTTTATTTACTATTTTCATTATTTTGCTTGTGTTGTCTTCTTTGTCTACTACGTTTAGGAGGACTGCTCTGTCGAAGGGGAGGTCCATTTCTCTGAGGCACTGCTTCGTATGTTGCGCGTACTTTCTGTAGAGGTTGGTTCGGTGGAGGTTTGAGTGGGAGCGGTTCGGCGCAGACCCGTTCATGGCAGACCCATTCGTGGCAGACCCATTCGTGGCAGACCCCTTTTCGCTGTCCCCCGGGGGCCCATCCCACAAGTCGTCTACACTTTCGCTTCCTTCTCCCAAGTGGTCCTCTCCTTGGCTTCCCGCTCCCAACTCGTCACCACTTTTGCTTTTCTTCTTCCTTTTCGCCTTCCTCCTAACGCATTCCTTCTCCTTGGTCTCGCCTCCTTTATGATCCCTGGTTTGTTCCAGCTGATCCGGCTTCTTATCTAATTCGGATTCATCTTGTCCGGGTTCTCCCTTCGTAATGGCCTGTAAAGACTTCCCTTTTCCCTTTGTCTTGTCCTTTTCCTCCTCCTGTTTTGGCAGCAAGTTTGAAAATATACTCTCATGGTGCTTTACGAGGAATTCTTCGCATATGGGCAGGAAATTCCGTATGACGAACAGGTCCTCTATTTTCCTATTCTTCAGCTTGATGATTTTCTTTCTGTTTCGATGTTGGTAGGGAGCACCCGAGTTCGGATTGGTACAAATTCTGATACTTGTGTTGGTACCCACATTGGTGCTGCCTACATCGCAGGCGTCCAGATCGGCGACTTTTCGTTTTTTCCTCTTTTCTGGGATCTCCTGGACGGCTCCGTTGCTCTCCATTGTGGGGTCGAGAAGTTGGGCGAAGAAAAGTAGACTTATGTACACGCACGCGTGTAGGTCGTTGTGTCTCCCAGGTTAACGGATGGTCTAAACCCTTCGAATTTATGTGTGCTTTGAAGCGACTCCCACTCTTCCAATCGAAAGAAAGATGTCTGCTCTCTACCTAACATGTACAAGTGGAGGAGTTCTGTTCAGTCTTGCTCAAGGATCGACTGCTGATGAAATGCAGCACACAGAAGATTCCCCTGTGTTTTACAAAATGGTACATCCGTTCTATCTACGGTTTTTGTAAGAGAATTATTCTTCACGTGACTTTTTTTAAACTCCTCTGTTGGCGTCTGGAGGAACAAAGGTATACCCATGTACATACATGCATATATCTACACTCACAAAAGAAAGGGTAAGCGGCAGTGGGGGGAGGCGGTAGAATGACAGTGCTTTCCTCAGATGATTTTGTCCGTCAATTTCTTAGCGTAAAAAAATACGTATGAAGAATTATACACAATGTAGAATGTATACAATAAAGGAACGGAAAACTACACAGCTTCTTTTTTTTTTTTCTTTTTTCTTTTTTTGCTTTCCCCTTTCGAGTAATCCACAGCCTCGTGTGACAAAAATGGTTTATTGGTAAATCGATTATAAAAATGAAATTATCGGCGAGGAAGACAAAAAAAAACAGGAGGGGGGGAAATTATTTCATTAAAATCGGTGCTGCTGCTGCTTCGGGCGCGCTACTGCCACGGCTGATGCGGGGGGTATGCCAACTTTTGCGTGAAAAACAGAAAATAAAAACGGGGTTTACTACGTTTCTATATGCAAGGAATCGATTCGCGTGACTACGGACATGGTTGGAATGAAAAAAAGTGCTGGTACACAGGTCGAGATACGTAGGCGTACAGCCGGTGCGCTAGGCCTCCTAAGCTTGCCTCGGAGGATTTGCAAAAAGTGTATTCTCCTAAGTCCACTCTTATGTTGAGGTAACAAAAAAAGAAAAAGGAAAAAAAAAATTTGCCATGCAAAATAGTAATTAGAAGTCCAAGTACATATGTCACTTAAAGCATGTCTGATTTGGGATTACACCATTGGAGGTACAGCACATACATGGGGACGTACCCCTGGAGTTGATTCTTCAAATATAGTAAGCATACAATGGGAAGAACAAACGGAGTGCGCAGCTGTGGGAAATGGAGGACAGGCGAAAGGCGAGACAAGCACGGTATAGACACGCTAATGGGTGCAATGTTCCTATATTCCCTAACGCCCCATTAATGCGCCCTCGGCGATGCTGTACGCGTGTATGTACGCATGCATGTACGTTCCCTCTTGCCGGGGCAGTAATCACGTCTGAGCTAGTGTATTCCTCATTCAGCAAAAGAGACAGTGATATGTGTACAAAAATGGAAAAAAATATTAAACCATATATTTCTTAATTCAGTTAAGGAAAACGTTTTTTTTTTTTTTTTTTTTTTGAGCGTTTTGGAACAATATTCTATGAAAAGAAAGAGTTCACTAGGTTAAACTAAAATTAGCATAAAACGGAAGGAGGAGAAATAGAAAAAAAAAAAAAAAATTGTCACTATCGATGCAGTAAAATATGGGTCACACTAACATGTAGGCAACGTATAGGCGCTACGAGTGTGTTTGTATATTCCCTATGCATGTGCCCGTACGGATATGTATTTACAGACGGTCAACCATAGCACCATACAAACCTACAAAGAGGCATAAGCCCCACAAAATAATCACTTACCCTTTCTGGTTGACCAAAATGTACTGTGATAGTATGAAGAGAGGGGGAAAAAAAAGTTAAATGATGCCCCGGAACAGCGATAATTTTGAAAGAGTACACATAATCGTAAGACAGAGAAGAAGGGAGAAAAATGTGGGAATAAGATAAAATCGGGAAAATGAAAAAGAAGGCAAATTATGAAATTAAGAAAAAATTAACGCATAAAAATTAAAGTAGTTAGTGGTCTTCGGATAGAGGGCGTGGTTTTGAAAAGGGGCCTCAGTCGAAAATGGGTGGCAAAATGGGTGGAGAAAACCGCAAATCGAAAATTGCAAAGGGGCCAATCAAGCAACGCCAAGTGGCCTACAAATTTCAAAAGTTTTTTTTTTCGCAGACATGCATATGCAAAGAAAAAATGCCCCGTCGGAACGACAAAAGAAAATTACGATAATGTTTGCGCAACTCTGCGCCACGATGCCCAATCACGAACTATATATGTGGTGGAGCGAACATACTTTATCTTTTTAAAAAAAAAATGTTAATTTATGCACAAAATGCCACTTTTCCTGCCCTCCCCCTTGAATAAAAAAACAACTGCGTTTTTATAAAAGCGTCTGTGGTGAACATGTGAAGTGGCAAAAAGCCAAATGGTCATCAATTTAAGCAGATCGCTTGGGGAAAAAACAAAAACGGGGATGTTGTAAACAGGGAAATTTTTGCAGACAGGAGGCAAACGAGAAATTTCTCCGCGGCGAAAAAAAAAAAAAAACGTATATGTTTATTATAGGCAAATGGCAACAGGTGAAATATAAAACATTCATGCCGCAGCTTTCCGCACGCGCGTAATTTTACAGACAACGTTATTCACGTGTTAAGCGCACATTCAAATGGTGAATTGTGTGAACACGTGTGAGGACATAAAAAATGCATGTGAGTTCTGCGCGGGGGAAACACATGCACCTTGTGTAGTGGGAAAAAGGTGAGTACAATGTGGGAAAGGAAAAATAGACGCAAAAATGGAGCATAAATGACGCATGAATGGCGGATAAATCGCTTCCTCACATTTTCGAACACGCGGAATGTCTACTTCGTGCCGCAGATGCAGGTGCGCGTAAATACATACACGCCGCGGTATTTCCACATGGAAAAAAGGAAAAAATAAAATGATAAAAATGCGAAAAACGTTGTGGATATACAGTACTCCCCGTGGACACTCGGTTTGGCCAGATGAACATATAACATTCATTCCGCACAGACGACTATCTTTTAAAAAAAAAAAAATAGACAGGCAAATGTGAACGTGTTGGTTGTACATTCAACGATTTTTTTTTGATTTTTTTTTTTTTACATTTTAAAATTATTTCATCAAATTTATCGCGTCAAAATGGGCGCTTCACAATCGTTGCAGAATTCACCCTGCTGATGTTGCTGTTAATCACCACGAGATGGTCCTCCCTCTGTGTTTCACTTTTTTCTTAATTTGCATTACGTACAAGGGACATCGCAAAATATGCGGCCAACAGGGCAAACGGGACAAAAACAGAACAGAGGAGCCAATGCAACGGTCACATTAAACACACGTGTCTTAGATGAAAGAGAGGAGGAAAGAATGCCAAGAGCAGAATTTCCACCCGCACGTACAAAATAAAATGCTGTATCTCCTGTCCTGTCAGAAGTTGACGAGGCCGAACCAAAGTGGATGTAAAAAATTAACGAACGATTAACCTCGAAATGGATAAACCGAGTAAGGGCAAAATGTAGGGGGAGAGTTAAAGCAGCTCGAAAGCATAACAAATGGCTTCTTCATATGCAAGAAGTGCAAATATGAGTTCGCATTTGAAAAAAAAAAAATACAACGATGCGTGTACATTCAAATGAAGAATCGTTTAAGGGAGGGGTCACCCAGACGAAAGTCGTGGACAGTGGAAACACACGCTGGTGCACATGTAGGTGTGCCCAGAAAGTTCTTCACCCAAGTGTATGTACGCGCGGAGTTGTTAAAACGCTGCACTACGAGGGGGATGAGCGAAATGGGAGATGGAACAATAGGGAAAAATTAAAAAGAGGGAAATGCATTCAACACATGTAATTGCAAAACGAACGGTGAGAATTTTTTTTTAAAGCAATCCCATGTGTGTACTGTACGCATTCTTCAACGTATTTATTGGGCGTAATTAAAAGCTGCGTTGTAAAAAAAAAAAAGCTAATGTAGAGGAGCAGAATTGATGAATGTCTACTTTGCTGAACATGAAAAAAGCGCGTGGCCTTGTTCGAGCATTAAAATTGGTTCGGTGTGCGGGAACAGAGGCGTAAAAATGTCGTAAAAGATGTTATTCCTTTTTAGCAACTTCACATTGCAGGAATTTGCCACAAATGAAGAACATGCGAAGCAAACGTGGCAGCAACGGTTAGCCTCGCTATTCAAACTAATCCACCTGCTGCGTTGAAAAAGACATACAAGTGAGTGACCAGCTATTCTGCCATTATTCCGTTGTTACAGTAAAGTACAATAAGACACCAGGCCTCTATTTCGACACTATGTCTTTTTATAGAAAAAATGGGCCTCGATTGCTTTTTCTGCTTAAAGGCCCTTTTCGAGTCGTAAAAATGCTCTTTTACCGTGCTCATAATAAAAACATACTGTGTAATTATAACGCGGAGGAAAAAGAAAAAAAAAAAAAAATGAACAAAGTGAACAATCATTTCACGTAGAGGAAAACGAATGGGACATTTGCAAACATAGTAAGTGTAGCATGTACATACCCCGGAGTTAGACATTCTTGTCACTTAAGCATTCCCTAGTTGTCTAAATTTTGGCAGATCCCCTTTTCCCAAGAAGTGAAAATAAAATCAATGCGTAGCAATATTAGGGGCGTTTTTTTTTATTTTTTTTTTTTTACCAATGTGCAAAAAAGGAATAACCCCCCACATAGCCAGACATTAAAATGGTTAAACGGACTGATAAATCAGTTTCTTCCTTTTTGAAAAATCTGAAGTGCAAAAATTGCGGATGTAGAAATAAAGAGGAAAAGGACATTTATAAAGAGAAATGTTTTACATTAATTTGACATTAAGGGGGAACATTTTTTTTTCACCCATTTGGAAGGGAAGAAGAAGAAAAAAAAATATATGAACAGTTGAGCAAAAACAGGAACAACCCCGAGAAGCAACGTCGGGATGATTTTTCCCCTTCTGTTAAGTTACCAACAGGAAAAGCAAGTTTTGCGTCTTACTCAGAATTTTTAATCACAGATAATTTTTATTTGGTTCA